TCCCTCCCTCCCTATCCACCTTCATTGAAAAGGCAAGCAACTCAATATAGGTTATACATGTGTAGTCATGCAAAACATTTCCATAGTAATCATGTTGTGGAAAACTAAGTATATTTCCCTTCATCCTATCCCACCCCCTATTTATTCTATTCTCTCTTTTGACCCTGTCCCTCCTCAGAAGTGTTTGCTTCTGATTACCCCCTTCCCCAATCTGCCCTCCCCTCTATCATCCCCCTGCCCTCTTGTCCCCTTCCCCACCCCATTTTCCTGTAGGGTTAGATAGATTTCCATACCCAATTAAGTGTGTATGTTATTCCCTCCTTAAGCCAAATCCTGTGACAATAAGATTCACTCATTCCCTCTTACATTTCCCCTTCACTATAAAAGCCTTTTCTTGTCTGTTTTATGTAAGATAATTTACCCCATTCTACCTCTCCGTTTTTCCTCCCAGTATAATCCTCTCTCACCCCCTTAATTTTATTCTCCAGATATCACCCCTTCATCTTCAACTCACCCTATGCCCTCTATCTATCTATCTATCTACATATATATACATACATATAATTTTTTACCCTCCAACTATCCTAATACTGACAAAGGTCTCATGAGTTACAAATATCATCTTTCCATGTAGGAATGGAAACAGTTCAACCTTAATAAGTCTCTTATGATTTCTCTTTCCTGTTTACTTCTTCAAGTTTCACTTGAGTCAAATTTTCTATTCAGCTCTGATCTTTTCATCAAGAATGCTTGAAAGTCCCCTATTTTACTGAATGACCATTTTTTTCCCCTGAAGGATTATACTCACTTTTGCTGGGTAGGTGATTCTTGACTGTAATCTTATCACCTTTGCCCTCTGGAATATTATATTCCAAGCCCTCCAGTCCCTTAATGTAGAAGCTGCTAAATCTTGTGTTATCCTGATTGTGTTTCCACAATACTTGAATTGTTTCTTTCTGGCTGCTTGCAATATTTTCTCCTTGACCTGGGAACTCTGGAATTTGGCTACAATATTCCTAGGAGTTTTCCTTTGGGGATCTCTTTCAGGAGGTGATCAGTGGATTCTTTCCATTTCTATTTTGCCCTTTGGTTCTAGAACATCAGGGCAGTTTTCCTTGATAATTTCTTGAAAGATGATGTCTAGGCTCTTTTTTTGACAATGGCTTTCAGATAGTCCAATGATTTTAAAATTCTCTCTCCTGGATCTATTTTCCAGGTCAGTTGTTTTTCCAATGAGATATTTCACGTTGTTTTCATTTTTTCATTCTTTTGAGATTTGTTTTACAGTGTCTTGATTTCTCATAAAGTCATTAGCTTCCAATTTCTCCATTCTACTTTTTAAGGAAGTATTTTCTTCAGTAACCTTTTGGACTTTCTTTTCCATTTGGCCAATTTTGCTTTTTAGGGCATTTTCCCCCTTATTGGCTTTTTGGACCTTTTTTTGCCATATTTTTTAAGGTGTTATTTTCCTCAGTATATTTTTGGGTCTCCTTTAGCAAGCTGTTGCCCTTGTTTTTCATGATTTTCTTGCGTCACTCTCAGTTTTTCCTCTAATTCTCTTACTTGCTTTCTCAAAATGCTTTTTGAGCTCTTCCATGGCCTGGGACCAATTCATATTTTTCTTGGAGGCTTTGGATGTAGGAGCTTTGATTTTGTTGTCTTCTTCTGGTTGTATGTTTTGATCTTCTTTGTCACCAAAGTAAGATTCTGTGGTCTGACTCTTTTTGAGCTGCTTGCTCATGATCTCAGCCAGTTACTTTAGTTAAAAACTCTTTGTTAAGGTAGAGGTCTGCTTCCAGTGTGGAGAATGTCCTGCTCCAAGCTTCAGGGGTTTTGTGCAGCTGTTTTCAGAGATACTTTTAGAGACCTCAAAATTTTCAATTCTTCCAAGATGCTGTGATCAAGGGCAAGGTGTTTACTCCATTCCTAGCCCGTGCTCTGGTCTATGAGTGACCACAAGCACTATTTTCTGTTTTGGAACTGTGAGGAGGATTTTCTCTCTACTGCCACTACAAGCTTCACTACACTAGCACTCCTCCTTGCCCCAGGACTGACACCCAGAACTGTCACCCAGATCCAAGCACTGGCAAAGCAAGAGAATCCTGCACCAGCAGAGAGATCCCTGCAATCCCCCTCTGATCAGCCACTCGATTTCCCCTCAGTCTGTAGGCCAGAAGCTCTGGAAGCAGTTGCCACCCCAAGCTGAGCTCAGGGATTGGGGCTGGGACCATGCTTCTCTCTCTCACCATAAACACAAACTTTTTCCACTGACCTTCTTAATTGTCTTTGGTGTTTGTGGATTGAGAAGTCTGGAAACCACCATGGCTGCCCACAATTCAGTCCTCTGAGGGCTACTCCAGGTTCCCTGAAGCCTGCCTTGCCTGAGTGCCCAGGCTGAACTGTGCTTCTTTCCCCGCCTGGCGCAATATACCATTCCAGTCAACCATCCAGGAAGTCATGGGCTGTAAATTTGTTTCACTCTGTCTTTTTGTGGATTCTGCTTCTTTAGAATTTGTTTAGATTTTTTTATAGGTATTTGAAGGGGTTTGGGGGAGAGCTCAAGCAAGTCACTGCTTTCACTCCGCCATCTTGGCTCCTCCCCTCCTCCAGCTCGAGGATCATATATATAAAGTCCTTCACATGCTGGTCCTTTCCTACATTTCTAATCTTAGATTTCATTCCCCTCATTGATCTGCTTGTTGTTTGTCACACATGATAGCCCATTTCCAGACTCTGTGCTTTTGTATAGGCTGTCTTCTATGGTTGGAGTCTCTCTCCTCACCTCTTGAGATGAGCCAGGTGGCTTAGTGGATACAGCACTGGGCCTAGAGTTAGGAAGACCTGAGTTCAAATCCAGCCTGAGATGCTTACGAACTATGTGACCCTGGGCAATTCATTTAACTTCTTTCTGTCTCAGTTTCCTCAACTGCAAAACAGGGATAAGTAATAGCACCTATTTCCCAGGGTTGTTGTGAGGATCAAATAAGATATTTGTAAAGCACAGTGCCTGGGTGCTATATTAATAATGGGTGTTATTTTAATGTTTGTCCACTTCTCTTCCTTCTTCCTCTTCTTGGCTTCCCTGGCTCCCTTCAAGACTCGTCTCAAATCCCACTTTCTGCAAGAGGCTTTTCCTGGTGATCCCCACTCCCACTGCTATTGTATATATCTTGTATGCACATAGTTGTTTTATGTTATTTCCTTCATTAGAATGTGAGCTCCTTGAGGGAATGGACATTTTAAGATAGGAGTAAACAGTTGTTGTTTTCTTAATTTACATATTGAATTTCATTTTAATATGACCCCCATGGATTTTGTATAGTAGCCATGTCTATAAACTTATGTGTTGGGCAGCTAGATGGCTCAGTGGATAGAGTACTAAGCATGGAGTCAGGAAGACTCTTCTTCGTAATTTCAAATCTGGCCTTAGACCCTTACTAGCCATGTGAGCCTGAGCAGATCACTTAACCTTGTTTGCCTTGGTTTCCTCATCTGTCAAATGAGCTGGAGAAGGAAATGGTAAACCATTCCAGTATCTTTGCCAAGAGTCTTTTTTTTCCTTTAAAAGAAATCTCATTTTAGGATTTTAGGTGAGATCAGCCTATATTTGGACCAGTATAGTACTTTACCAACTTCTCTCATTTAGGAGTTTACTTTTGCAAAGCAAAGTCTCATTCCAAATAAGGAACAGTATTTGTTCTGTTCCCTGATTTCTGTATGGCTGAACATCAGTAATAAAATCAGTCAGCAATTAGTGGAAATTCATATGACAGCTGGTCTCTCTGATGGTCGTAGCATGGTAGTGCTTCCCATCAGCCCTTTTCCATGCCACTTTCTGTGTCCATGAATGTGTTAGCTAGAAATACAAGACCAAGGTACCTCCCTGTCACTAAAGGAGAAATAAAATTTGAATTGTCTTAATTTTATTTTAGACTGCCATAGTATGGCAAATGGAAGATTGGCATGTTAGTTTTTCATAGGTCACCTAAAATTTATCAATAATGTAAATTTGAAAATAAAACAGTTTTATCAACCATATACATTTAGCATGTTTTCTAAGGAGATCATTCTTTAGAATAGTTTTACTTTGAAAGGATCTAATGAAAAGAGAAGGAAAGAATTAAAAGGCACATGATGTTTGTCTGAATATTAATTGAATTAATCATGTAAAAAGACTTCATGTTTCTTTTTTTTCCTTTACAGAAAATTTAAGTTCCTCAAATTCAGTGATTATTTAAGTTCCTAAGACAATAATTCTTAGTCTTACTATAATAATGCCTCTAGATATCTCCAGCTGTTTTAAGTAGTATTTAGAAATTGCCAAAAAACAAGGCTAACTTTACTTTAACTACATATGTTTGTCATGCAACATCTTTCTGAGGAGAATGCCATGACATAAAACAAGTGATAATGTGTACTATTGACTCCAAAATGATTATGATAATTATTTTAAAATACATCCTTTTTTATTTAGCACGTGGTATTAGATTCAGTTTAAGTGTCTGTTTTGTCTTATTTAACTTTGTCTTTGGAAAGTTTGATATGTACCTTTGTAAAAGAAATATTCATTTTCTGCTATTTGTTTTAATGATTTTTGTTTCTTAATTACTAGAAAAAACCTGCAATTACTAATCATATTCAAATTAATACTTCTCCTTCTATATATACATTTAAATAAATAGCCTTATTACAGAGTGTAATAATAGTAGATAACAAATTTTAAATGGAAAGTTATGAAGTTCCGTAAGATGAAAGGGGAAAGAAAAACTTTTTACCTCAGAAATGAAATAACCTGTATATCAGGTAGGTTATGTTAATTAATTATGATGAATGCATTCCATTGTGTTAGAAACTAACACAGTCCTGAAGAATTGAAGCTAAAGAATTGAAGCTAAATAATCACCTCATGTTCCCTTATTTTCTATTCAACTAAAAGCTAATAAAATATGTGAAACGTTATTCATTATAACCTGACGTCTAACATGGAAAAACTCTTTTAGCTTGTTATTGTGCCAGGAGTAGAAGAAACTGTGAAGCTAATTCGTCAAATTGCTGACCACATCTTGATATCCTCTAAGAGAGCTCCTCATGAATGGCTGGACAGGTCTTGGCTTTCAGTTTCACCATCTGAGGTGCATTTCTTATCTGTGTTAATTATTTTTATTGATTGCAAAGTAAATAAATAATTTAGATACTGTAGTATTAGTTTCAGTTTCATTTAAGTGGTGCCAATCAGTTGGTATTAGTAGCCAATGAATAATTAGCACAATGTTCGGTAAATTTTGCACATAGCACAGTATTTTTAAAAACCTTATCTTTTCATCAAATTCCTGACTTAAAATAAATAAGGTATATTAAAAATTAAATTGGATGAAAAAACAATAAAGTCTATAGAACCTAGATGATTCAATAACTTAATTCAATAATTATCCTGCAAAAGTGACAGGTGAAGTTGTAGAATATTTTAGTAAGATAAATTTACTTAATCAGTTAATTAATAAACACACTAGGTCATTACACATGCTTACTTATAGACTTAAAACTTACCAAGTTTTTATACCAACCCCAAAATTGCCTGATTTTTTATTTTTAAATTCATAAATATTATCACAAACTTTTTTATGTTGATAAAAATTAATCTAGAAATTATTTAAAGATTCCTCTACTGTTTATCAAATTATATATTTGTAAATCCATATATATTATATTATGCACATGATATGTAATTATAGTGTGATATAATTATATATCACAAATAATTATATTATATTATATAGATATATTTAGAACCCTTAAAATCTTACATAAATGTCAGCTATTATAATTTTTCTTCTTGTGGGTTCTGATCCTTACTTAGCATTTTTGCTTCTTATCCTCTGGTCATAATCTATTTGAGGCCTGCAGTGCTAAGTGGTATTATAATTAGACTAAACCTCCCTTGGGTTCTCAAAAGTTATGCCAGCTAAATGAAGCTGTGGCTGGTCCTGTCAAGCTATGAAAACTTCAAGTATGCATCTAGTGATGTACTGTATTTCTGTTGTCTGAGAACCAGTCTAGCTAAATTCAGAGAGGTTTTTCACTAGCTTAGCCACGGAGTGATGAATTTTTTTGGCCATAGCAACTCTTGAAGACCTTCTCCTAAGTCACACAAGAGATGCACTCTGGCATTGATGACCTGCACTGCTGAAATCACAGGCTTTTGGTTTTGATGTATTGCCACAGCTAATGTTTTTGCTATATCAAATTTTGAAATAGAAAAAGGGAACATTTTCCCCTTACATGAAAAAGGCCCTGTAAGCCATTTCTAAATACATACATATATTTTCTAGCAGTTAAGCTAGCATCAGCCTTATTTACTGAATATAGAGATTAGTATAGCCATCCCTAAGCACAGCAGATCAGAGCCACAGACCCAGAACTTGTACTTTAGGGAGAAGGGCCTGAGGAGGGTAGGGCATGAAGATTAGTGTACTATATAAGAAAGTGGGAGGAGAAAGAGGTGCTTAAAACTTACTCTACATATATATATATATATATATATATATATATATATATATATACATATGTGTGTAGGTATGTATATGTAATTAGCATGTAAAGGACCCTAGGAGACTGAAAATTAGGGATTGCTATTTAGCAATAATGCTTTTCTTCCTTATTCTATATCCCTCTTTGGTCTACATGATGCTCTTGTGATATCTCCTTTTTCTCTTTGAGGCTGTTCTTAATATACGTTTTAATTCAATTTCAATTATTTAAAAATGTTAGGGGGAGAAGAATTGTTCCCAGCAAAGTGCTTTGCACATAGTAAGCATCAATAAGTGATCATTGAACTAAATTGAATTGAATACTAGTCTAATTAACCTTGGGTCCTACGCTTCACTATGATGAGCTTTGACAACTGGCACTAAAAAGAACACGCCTCTGAGCACAGAATTTGTGACCAGTGACATAACAGCTTCCAAATAATTTGATCTTTCAGACTGCCTTCTAACTCTGTTTTCTCTTGGTTCTTCTATTTGTGGTGCTGTAAGGTGCTTTAGTTGGCTATATTCTCTAAGGCATCAGGGTGATGGATCATGAATGGAAAGATCTCTTTCTATTTTTCCAAAAGGAAACTAAGAAAGGGAACAAAGAAATAAAATCACTTAAGCTTTGTTAAATGCAGTTAATACCTAAGCCAAGGACAGAGTCAATCTCCTGACTTTTCTAAAACCATCCACCTAAGCCATTAGTGCCACTAAGTATTCCTTAGGTTAATTGTTTGTAGGACTTTACTACTTCCCAACATATGCACCTATTCTTATTCTTCTCTTGTTTTCCTCTCAGTTTTTAAACTTTCTTTGTTTCTCCTTTTCTTCCTTTTCATTTTTTAAAAATTTATTGACATCAATGGCATTTTGAAAACTCTAATAGTGACCCTCCAGCCTAAAAAAAATTGATGATACCTGCTCTACAGAGTATTTGGAATGTTCACCTTAAGTCTAATATGATAATCTGACTCAAGAGTTCTAATATCATTAGTGTTTGCTCTGTTTTGCTGTCAGGGCAAACTGCCTGAGAAACTTATGAACTAGGGGCAGCTAGGTGGTGCAGTGGAGAGGGCACCGTCCCTGGAGTGAGGAAGACCTGAGTTCAAATACGGCCTCAGGCACTTGACAGTGGCTGTGTGACTCTAGGCAAGTCACTTAACCGCAATTGCCTCACCAAAAGAAAAAAAGAAAGAGACTTATGAACTAGTTAATATTATTAGTACTTTTATATTTATTAAAAAACTAAAATCTTATCCACTAAACATTACAAGGTTTTCTGTGAATGATGTCAGACCAATTAAAGGCTAAGTGGGGGCTCTTCTAATCATGGCATACTCTGTGTGAGCTTTTCAGGGCTTGCCATTCCCATCCACTTGACCAAAAAAACCCAGAAAGTCTGGAAATGTGCGATGGAAGTAGTAAAGATGGATGCTATGCCATGTCTCTCTAGACAATGAGGAATGACCTTAATGTCTAGAGGTATGAGTCAGTCAAGATTGATATGTGATCTTCCTAAGTTCTTCATAGAAGGCCAGTGGTGTTCTGGAGCCAGCTTATAACTGGCTCATGAATACCAATTGTTAAATTTTCAATTTTAAATCTCAGAAATTGGCAAACTCTACAAATCAGGGAATGATTTTTTGTTTTGTTGACTTTCTAGACTTAAGAAAGTGATGGAGAAAATGTTAATAATGCAGATTAAATTTTAAAGTGTTACTAGGTGTGCAACCCTGAGCAAGTCACTTAACCCCATTGCCTAGCAAAAATAAATAAATAAATAAATAAATGAAATTTAGAAGTGTGCTGTATGTATATTTTTTTTCAGGAAGCTGGATGTTAAACTTTTACCAGCACACCCCTGTATAAGGCCTTCATGAAACTGAACATCTGGAAACCATGATAATGTACTCATCATTTGGAAAACTGATGTGGCTAGCAAATAATTATTTTTTAGAAGGGAGACTATGAAGGCTTCAAAATAAAGGAGGCAACCAGAGAAATACCTTTTAGTTGTGCTGCAACCAACTCTGTGGATAAACTAGAACAAATACTCTTAGATTCTTTGTTCCAAGAAGCTATACTGCCTTTCTCTAGTTCTACCTCCCATAGCCCCATATTCTGTGGTATGAATTCCTGAAATACTCAGGAACATCAGGTTGCCAAACAAGCTAAATGACATAAAATGAATCATTATGAAAATCCTGACCATTCTTTAAATCTTTTTATCCAGGATGAAATGTGTTTACTTGATTTTCCGTGTATCAATCCCTTGGTGGCTCAGCTTATGTTAAATAAAGGACCTTCTCTGCCTTGGCTGCTATCTGCAACTCTTGATCAACTTCAAGGACTTCTGCCTGAAGTTCCCTCCAAAGTGTTAAAGGTCAGTTATCTAGAATTCATATTTCAAAAGAGAAGCAACTGAATTCTATCTTCTTGTTTCACAGTTAATGAAATACTAATTTATTTGAACATATTACCTTGTGAAACTTTAATTGACTGTCAGTCATTTGACATTCATTAAATCAGTAATCATTTATTAAGTGCCCTTAGTGTGCAAAGTACCAGTACTAGGGGAGATAGACATTATTCCTGTCCTCATGAAGATAACAGTTTAGTAAGGATACTGCAGCTACAGAAATATATAATACTGAACGATCAACATACAGTAATTACATTGCACACATGGAGGAGAATAATGTGAGATAAAGCTGAAAAGGTAGGGAGAAGCCAGCTTATTGAGTATCCAATTAAGGATAAGGAGTTTAGGGTTTCTTCATCAAGAGACAGAGAGCTATTATGAAGAGTTATGAACAGAGGAATTTTGCAACATTTTTTATGGTGGTTCTTTCTATTTACATTGTTATAGTCATTGTATATATTATTGTTGTCAAACTCAAATACAAGTAGATACCTGAGGGCCACATATTGACTTAGAAAACCACAAATTACTATCATCTACACTGTATTGTATTTTTATTTATTTTGTCAAATATTTCCCAGTTACATTTTAATCTGGCTCAGAGTTTTGCCTACTGCTTATGGCCCTTGGGCAACATTTGACATCTCTGGCATATGTTATTTTCTTGGCTGTGCTTGCTTCTGACTCAGCATTAGTTCATGTATATCTTTTCTTGTTTCTCTGTATTCATCACATTCATCATTTTTTAACAGCATAGTAATATTACTTTGCAGTCATGTACCACAATTTCTTTAGTCATCTCCCAGTCAGCCATCTCTTAAATACAGCTTGAAATTGCATTGGCTTTCTTAGTTACCGCATCATGCTCTATTGAATTAAATTATAAACACTGCTTTAGTGATTTCTAGATCTGGATCTCTAGCTCTGAACTCTCCCATCAAATCCAATCCTATATTCCTAAGTGCCTACTAGACACATGTACTTGAATGAGTCCCACCAATACTTTAAACGTATTATCTCCCCCCAATAATCACTATCATTCCCCCCAAAAAAATAACCTGACCTCCTAATTTGGTATTTCACAAGGCCAAAGAGTTAAAGCTTGAAGAAGACTTGGGGATTATCTAATCCAATCCTTTTATTTTATAAATGAAGAAACTGAAACCCAGAGAAGTGATTTGGCCAAGGTCACACACACACTAGAAAAGGATAAAGATCCAAAATAGGGAGAACCATTAGAAAGCTGCGGCAATAGCAGAGAGGTGGTTTTGAAGGTCTCTATTAGAGTGGTATTAGTAGAAATAGAAAAGATATAAGAAATATTGTAGAGGTAGACTTCATAGGACTTGTTGACTGACCAGATATGGGAAAGTAAACAAGTGGGAAGAGTCAAATACCAAAGTTTCAACCATGGATGACTAGGTAAACAGTGATGCTTTTCACAAAATATTGAGTTTGAGGGACATATAGGTACAGCTATTCATTAGACAATTGAAAATGTGTATCTGGAGCTCAGGGGAAGTATCAGTTAGAAATACATAGATTTGTAAATTATCCATATAGAAGTGATAGTTGAAGCCATAAGTGTGGACCAGATTGCCACTTGAAAGACATAATAACAAAATAAATAATAAAAATATAAAATATAAAATAAATAATAAATAATATAATAAATAATAAAAGAGAAGTTCCACTGATGACAGAATGTTAGGGTATGCCCAGTTTATGAAGTAGGAAGAGGAAAAGAAGCCGACAACATCAACAGCAATAACAACAACAGAAAGTTAGGGAGAAAACCAAGAGTGTGAGGTGTGAAACCAAGTGAGCAGAACACTATCACTGAGGAAGATAATGGTCAAGTGTCAAATGATGTAGAAAAATCAAAGAGAATAATAAATAAGAAGCTTTTGATTTGTGCACTTTGGAGCTCGTTGGTGACCTTTGAGAGAACAGTTTCTATAGATTAGAAGGGAGAAGAGCCAGATTTCAAATGGTTAAGGAGTGACTGGGTTATAAGGAAGTAAAGTCATCTGTTATAGAGGACTTTTTCACAGAATCAGAGAATTGGAAAGTTGGAAGGGACCTCAGCTGTCACCTAGTTCAATCCATCCATGAAACAAATCCCCACTGTCACACACCTGACATCCAGGCTCTGCTTGAAGAACCTCAGAAAGGGAAAGTAGGCAAGAAAGTGGAACACAAGGAAGGGTGTAGGAACTGAAGGAGAAAGCAAGTATTGGAACAGCCATTGTCAGAAATGAGATGATAGGGAATCAAGAGCAGAATTAAAGTTGTGTTAGAGAGTCTGTGAAGTTGTCTTTAGTTTGATGATTCAGAGGTATTGAAGGGAGAATCACAGTTGAAATACCCAGAATTCACAGGAGATAAAAAGCCAAGAAAGGAGCTAGTAGTAAAAACCCAAAACCCCTGGCCTCAAATATCTCCAAAGTTCAGGGCAATAAGCAAGATGAATTTGAGGTCCTAACACAAGGGGGCAAATTCACCTCATCCTTATCACTTAACACTTGGTGAAATAAAATTCATAACTAGAATATGGTTGTGGATGGATATGCCCTGATCAAGTGAAAATTTATAAGTAAAAGGTAAGGAAGTAGGGTAACTGCATAATAAGAAAAAGGCATATTCACGTGAAGATAACCAGGAACTGAAGAAGGCATCTTGGTGTATACAGCATGGAAGCTTGGGTAATGAACTGGACAGAAAGAGGAAAGAGATTCAGAGTTCAAGAAACAGAAAACAACTTTAGCAGAGACATGCTATAATAGTGACGAACTTCATTTATCCACACATCTGCTGAAGCTCTCACTCTGCTAAAAGTAGAACAGCTGATAACTTCTTCACTAGACTTCATGATCATTTCACCCTTCAAAAGATAGAGGAAACAACAAGGGGAAATTCTATTCTGTATGTATTTCCCTAAAAGTCAAGAACTGATTGCTGAGATGGAAGTGACAGAACCCTGAGGGGAAGTGACTGCTCCTTCCTAGAGTTTGTGATAATAGACAAGTTAATGTTTGGGGACATTGAGCTTAGAGAAGAGAACATTCAGAGGTTTATGATAGCTGTCCTTAAGTAGCTGAGGACACAGAAGAGGGATTAGACTTAATTCATTATCTACAAAGTGAAAATAATAATAGCATCTACCTCACTGGGTTGTTGTAAGGATCAAATGAGATAATATTTATAAAGTGCTTAGCACAGTTCCTGGCACATAGCAGGTGCTTAGTAAATGCTTATTCACTACCCCTTTCCCTCCTTACTCTTCTTGGCTCCAGATGGCAGAGTTAGAAACTGTGAGAAGTTTCAAAGTGGCAAATTTAAGGGTGATGTCAGGAAAAACTTCCAAAAACTGGAGCTATCCAAAAGTGAAATTGGACAGCTCAAGAGATAGTTGGCTCCTACTCATTGGAAGTGTTCAGCCAAAGGTTATATGACCACTTGTTGGATATTATATAGATGGGATTCTTGCTAAAGTATAAGTTAAACAAGATTCCTTCTAACTCTGAGATTCTGTGATTCTGAGTGGATAAGTTTACCGTTGGAGAGAATAGAGAGAGAGAAAGGAAAAGGGCCCAACACAGAGCTTTGAGATAGCCCAGACTTAGGAGGGGGAAAAGGAAAGAGAAACCAACAAAAGAGACCAGAAAGGAATAGATAGAAAGTTGAGAACCAGAATGAATTCTGTCAAGGGAGGAGAAAGCATCAAGATGGAGGAGATGGTCAACAGTGTCAACTGTTGAAGAGATGTAAATAAGGATGAAATTGGGAGAGTCACTTAGGAGGTAACTAATAACATTTGAGAGAGCAGTTACTACTCTTCATTATTCAGAGGTAGGCCACATTATAGGGGGGTTGAGGAGAAAGACGTGGAAGGTAGACTTTCCATCAATTTGACAGTAAAGATTAGGAGAAAAAAAATAGCCCGGTAACTTAAGATAGCAATAGAGTCAAGGCAAGGTATTTTTTAGAAGGGAGCTGAGCATATTTGTAGAGAAAGAAAAGATGCTGGAAGAGGAGACATTGAAAAGGAAAGAGAGAAACAAGTTCATGGAGGAAAGAGGAACAAGGGTCCTTTCTCCCTAAAATATGACACCTAGATATGGACACAATAATACAAATGTAGTCTGACCAGGTCAGACTAGAGCAGGATTCTCACCTCCTTTGTCCTGTTTACTATGCCTGTCTTGTTTTGTTTTCATTTTTAAATAGTTTTTTTTATTGGTATCTTGTTCTTTTCATCACCATACTTTCCCCCTGTTCCACTCTCTCTTTCCCTCCCAGTCATCTCATATAATTCAAATTATAATAACATAAATATAATTCAAAATCAAAAAAAGAAAAAACAGCATAACCAATAAATACATCAAAAAAGTCTGAAAATATATGCAATGTAAAATGCATGTGGACCTCCCGTCTTCGCGGAGAGATAAGGCTATCATCTCATACATCTTGTTTTGAGCCATGCTTGTACTCAATAATTTTGCAGCATTCACTTTAGATTTTTTTGTTTTTCCCATTTATGTTGTTGTAATTATTATTTATTTTGTTTTCCTGGCTCCGTTTTACTTCACTTTGTAGTAATTAATTTAAATCTTTCCATGCTTCTCTGAATTCATCACATTTATCATTTCTAAACAGCACAGTAGTATTCCATTACATCCATGTACCACAATTTGTTTAGCAAGGGTGCTGTGTCTCTTAATCCAGATAAAACATCAGCTTTCTTGGTTACCATATCAAACTCCCATGAGCCAAATTATGAACTCTTCATTGGTGACTCCTAGATCTGGATAAGCAGTCCCAAATTCCCCCATCAGCTCCAATTCTCCATTTCTAATTGCTTACTAGACTCTTCAATAATTCAAACTCAGTATTCCTCCCCCCAAAAAATCATTATTATTCCTTTCAATGTTTGCTCCCCACCAAAAAAAAAAATCTTTCTATCTCATAAGATCAGAGAGCCTTGGAATCATCTAATACAATCCCTTTATTTTATGCATGAAGAAACTGAGACCCAGAGAAGTTATTAAGTGGTACAGTCAGGATTTTAACTCAGGCTCCCTTACTCTAAATCTAGTGCTCTTTCCATTGCATATGCAATCCTCTCCATTATGTTGAAGCCAAATCACCCAGGCTTGAAAATTAAGACTTATCTTTGGCCCTTCTTTCTCCTTCATATGCCAAATATGGATAGATGGATAGCTTTCAAATCCCTCACTTCTCCTTTCAACTCATACTACCACAACCTTATTTCAACAGTTAATTCCTCCTACTTATACTATTGTTATAACTTCTCTTTTTTTTTACCTTTTAGCTTTATTATGGTTTATAAACATAAATGCAAGAATTAGGCTTTTTGAACAGATATTAGAAGTTATAAACTCAAACCAGTTTTGCATTTGTTGAACTCACCTCAGATAAAACTTTGATTTGTTATATGACTTGCGTTAGCTCACAGTTAAAATAAACACAGTCTTGACTATCTATCTAGATTCTTTCCCCAAAATTGTGGTCTTTGTATGGTAAGAGTCATGCTTTTTTTTTCTTGTGTTTATCAATAAAACCATTGTTATCATCATCAATACTTCCCAAATGGACCAATAGAAAAGCCACCTAATTGGTCTCCCAGGCTTAAGTCTCTCTCCTCTAATCTATCCTCCACAGAGTTATCAAAGTGATATTCCTAAAACACGTATCTAGCTATATTGTAATAACTTCCTAAATGGTCTTTCTGTCTTCTGGCCCCTCCTCTCTTTGATATATATAATTTCCGTAATGCACAAGTGTAATTACAGTTCTCCCCTGCCCAAAAATCTTTAGTCTCCTATTACCTACAAAATAATATGCAAATTCTTAATCCTGGCTAATTTAAGATTATTCATAATCTGTCTCCAAACTACCTTTCTAACATTATTTCACACAATTTCTCTTCTCACACTATGCTCCAGCCAAACTGAACTACTTGGTTTCTGAGATGTCCTCCCTCACTCACCTTCATGAACTTACACAAGGTATATCCTTGAAATCATGCTACAAATTTGCACACATGTACTGTTGAAATCATTCTTTTTCTTCATGGCCTAACTCAGGGGCCAACTCCTCCAAAAAGCCTTCCCTGATACCCTCAGCTATAAGTGATCCTTCCTCACATCTCTCATGATACCCTGTTTGACCGTTCTTAGGCCCTAATCAAATAAAAATTTGTATATTTATGAGTGTACATGTCTCAGTGTTCTTACTGGCCAGTGGCTAGCAAAGTGCCTCAAACATAGTAAGTAGAAACTTAATAAATGTTAAGTTGAACTAATTGTTGACTGTATTTTGTTATATTAAATTCTCTGAATTTTTTTTAGCATTTTTCTGAGATTACTTCTTTGTTCAAGATTGGTCCTTCCCTGACAAAGTCACCTTTAATTTCATCACATCGAGAAAACGGATACCAACCTGATACCATCTCTTCTCAGTGTTCAATCTCAAGTTCTTCAGCATTAATCATTCGAGGACAGGATGAATATTATTGTTATCCAAAATTATATGAAAAAGTGCCTGAAGATGCAAGTCTGTCTTCAAATTATACCACTTCCCTTATAGGACCAAGTGAAATACAATGTATTTTACCATCTTCAAAATCTTATGAACAAATGGACTGCTGGGAAGATTCCAATTTGAACCCATACCAACCTCAGGATCCTGCTTTTCTAAATAGCATAGAATCCAGAAGAACAGCTGGCACTTCCTTCCTAAGGCAGAACGACTCAGAGTCAGATGTCTTTTCTTTGAGACTGGCTGAAATGAGTTATGGAGCAAGAATGACTGAGAGTCTTGCTAACTCTGATTGTATAAACTGTAAGCAACAAGATACACATATAACAAAAGGAGAAATAAGGAAAGAATTAGATTCCCCCATCTTTTTACTAGAAAACTCTGAGTATCCCGTTACCTGGAATTTTAACAATAATATACTAGACTCACAAGTCCACCCTCTCAAGTTGCAATATGATAGAGAACAGAACTCATATGATACATGGCTCCCTAAAAAAGACAGTTTAAATACAGCCTCTAACCCCTTTATGTTTCAACAAAATTGTCTGTCTGATGAATTAAAAGACTTCATGTATGACAGGCTAGATGCTCAGACAGATAAGACTTCCTGGAAAGGATTACCAGGTTTCTCCAATGTGAATTCATTTGCACATAATTCATGTGCCTATAATTTAAATGCAACTTCAGAAAAATTCAACAATCTGTATGTCCAGCAAACATCTGGAAGATATTCAGGACAGAAAAGACACATTGCAACTTCATCAAATTTAGCAGAGAATGAATCATTAACAGGTAACAACTATTATTATTTGTTGAGAATAATTTCAAATCAAATTTAATTATCATTGATTTATGAGTTAAAACATTTGGGCTTGTTTATTAACATGTGTTATGCAAACAGAGATATTATAAGAATAAAATGAAAAAATACTTGATAGCATACACGTTTAAAAGTACAAAAGTTTAGGGGCAACTACACAGCTTAATGTATAGAGCACTGGCCCAGGAGTCAGGAGGACCTGAGTTCAAATCCGGTCTCAGACACATAATACTTCCTAGCTGTGTGACTCTGGGCAAGTCACTTAACCCCAATTGCCTCACTAAAAAAAAAAAAAAGTTTCCTTTTTTTTGGTAGGATAACTTGATTGGTAGAATGATGTAGGGACTAAAGGGGCAGTCCGAATTCAGGAAGACCTCAGTTAAAGTTCTGTCTCTGACACATAATAGCTGTATAACCATGGGCAAATCCATTAACCTCTTAGTGTTCCCAGTGAATTCTCTAAATTACAGCTGAGTTACTGGTGGAGGGAGTTTCCATACCAATGAAATCACAGGTCCAGCCTAAAAAGGAAAAAAAAAGGAAAACCAAACTCTACAGGAAGATCAAAGGAACATAGGTGGCTAAATTTGCATTCAGAAAGCAATTTCACAAGTATAAAAAGGTGAGGCTTAGTTAGACAAATTAAATTGGATTAGCCCTGGCAAGAAAAAGGGCCACCTTGAAGAATGAAGCAAAGGAAACAAGGTTGGGTGAAGATGTAGATGGGTTTAACGTTTAGCATAGAGGAAATGAGGAAATTTGCAATGAAGTCTTACTTAGTAAAGGAAGAAGTGAGATCATCTACTAAAAAGCCAGTGCACGGGGGAGAGTAGAATAGGAATTGCGCTGGGGGTTTGAGGAGATAAGAGTTTAGAACAGATGCTATGCAGTGAATGTGAGATTAGAGAACAGAAGACTAAAAAGTTTGTCATGCAACAGTGAGGGTCCAATAGTGATTAGACTAGTAGTGGGCACAACTGCAGGACTTCATGCAGTGGCATTCAGCCACAGGAGAGTAGGTACATGGAAGGTCTGGCAGTTTGGCCACAGAACAAGGGTATGAAGAACATAAGTACGCAACGTACTGTATAGGTATACTACTTAAAAACAGGGGCAAGACTATAAAGTAGGAGAAATGAAGCCACATAAGGGGTGAGAACAGGAAAACAGAATGGGATGGAGGAGCTGGAATAGGCTGTAAGAATAAAGAACGGGGGCAGCTAGGTGGTGCAGTGGATAGAGTACCAGCTCTGGATTCAGGAGGACCTGAGTTCAAATCCAGCCTCAGACACATAACACTTACTAGCTGTGTGACCCTGGGCAGGTCACTTGACCCCATTGCCTAGACAAAAAAAAAAGAATAAAAAAGAGTGAAGCTGTGGGTCATGGGAGTTGATCCTATAAGAGAAGCCTAAATCCTATGAATCCATGACTATAGGCTTTCCTTTAGAAATTTTAATATCTCTACAAAACTTCAAATTTTTTTTCTCTTGTGACCAGTCACTTTCTACCTAATAACCATATAGTTCATTTTTTAAAATCCTTCTATTAATTGCTAATTAGCACTTATATATCTACTTTTTCATAACTATATTGAATTTTTATCTCACTCTCCCAAGATGCTAGCTAGAGCTTTTCCAGGAAAATGTCATCTGTGTTTTCACTAAGTATACTTTCTACTGAATAGTACAGAGCCAAGTACTATATAGAGAGTTCCACAAAAGATCTAGTCCCAGACTTCCAAGAACATAAATGTAATGGTATTAAATGTAATAACAAAAAGTCAATATATAAAAATTTATATTTTATAGTGATTTTCCCAGTTTAATATTTGCTTAGTTTGAATATTATAGATAACTGGGAGTGGTAGATGACACTAGGAAAGATTTCCATGTAGATTTTGTAGAAGGTAAAAGAGCTTCATTGAATAGCTATAGGAAGAGCATTTTATCAGGTATATGTGAGAAAATTCCCTGAATTGGCTGTATACAATAAAAAAAAAACCAAAGATTTGAGTAGTCAGACAGATAATTAAATATCAATCTTTATTTGCTAGATTGACAAAATACCTTTTCTTCCTTTTTTTTTAATTTGCAAAGAATTTTGAATTTGAATGGGGCAAGAAGTAACAATAAATATAAACCTTAGAAAAACAACAGTCAGTTCAAGAGCCTGTGGAAGTACTACATACTGTTGGCTGAACTCTTTGAACTATATAAAGAAAATAGGTGCTGCAGCTAGCTTCCCTTAGGTATTTTGCCATTCCTTTGAGGACCTTAAGAGTGGCAGGCCAAGACTCCTTGTATGCCACTAATAATATTTTAGGATTTTATTACCCCATCATACTTATATATAAATGTCTCTCTCTCTCTCTCTCTCTCTCTCTCTCTCTCTCTCTCTCTCTCTCTCTCTCTCTCTCCCCCTCCATGTAGTATATATGTATATATATACACATATATGTTCATAACCTATATGAACCATAGGTCATATTTCCTAATTTTTTTAAGGATGGTACAAACTACAGTTGGTTCTTTCTTATGTCCTAATTTGTGAAGCTTTACTGACTTCTTCCAGCAGTCGGGAGGCCATGCCTTAGTGACATCTTAGCAATTTCTCTCTGCTTTTCATTCCAGGTGAAAGCATATACGGTTTTATTTGGGTTGGAGCATTTTATTAACATAAAAATTTTGAACAATGAATATATATTATACTATGTTAGAAAAAGTTGTACGGTTTAAAAAATAAAATAACTGAAATAGTCATCTTTTTAGCATAGTTATAATTAAGTAATTTAGCAGTAGGTAATACATGTAGTGGACAGATTCTTTATCCCCAAAATCCATTTATAAAGCTAAAACAAACTACTTTCATAGCCACTGTCTGTTATGATCAGCAACATAATAGTTTTCCTTTTCTTTTCTCCATAGATTTAATATACTCACAGCAACCCCAATGCAAAAAAAGGCGACTAGTGTATGAAAAAGTCCCTGGAAGAACCGATGGCCAAACACGCTTTAAGTTCTTTTGAAGAAGCACTGGGCCAGTTGCTACATTGTAAAGAGCTTTGGAGTATATTATCATTGTGTGAAGCATTATTCAAATGTTGGTATATATTTAAGAAAAGGTTATTCTCTATATTCTCAATGTTCTAATGAAATTAAATTTCCAAGAAATGTACACCACCTTCTATAATTTACATTTTTGTAAATAATTATAATTATTCATTACTTTAGTAACTCTCACAAGCTTCAAGGTAGTTTCCAGAATTCAGTTGATTTTAGAGAATGAATTTATTCCTCATTACCCAAAAACTGCATATCTCTGGAATAGAGTAAAACAACCTGAATCACCATCTCAGAGCCCAGTGTAACCCTTTACACTCAGGAAGTAAAAAAGAAAGACCAGACCCTCTAGAGACAAGGAAGTGACTAAACTAAGCTTGAAAGTAGAGCCACTTTTAATCTGCTATTTTATGATGGCTCCTACTGAAAGCATACAATAAGAAAAGTACTATGAGCCTTAGTAATAAAACCTGTTTTTGACATAGTCTTATGTCTAAAATGGACTGCCTCCCAGGCATTTTCTTTCCAAGTTCCAGGCAAAATGCAGTACAATCCTCAGGTATTCTGCCCCAGTTCTTTGTGTCCTTACTTTATTATATTTTTCAAATGAGATAATGTATGCAAAGCATCATGCAAAACTTAAAGCAGTATGTAATTATTAGCTTTCATAATGATTTCAGAAAGTTAGCCACAAATTTTAGGATTGTAAGGCAATGCTGGAGAAAGCTTATGAAGGACTTATGAAATGGTATATTCAGCTGTGCTTATGTACAGATGAAATTTGTATGGTCTGAAGAACTGGATTAACTAGGATTTACACTTTTCTCCTGTTTTAAAAGATTGTGTTTCTTAGCACATCAGCTGCTTCTAGTGTCTCGGGCATAAGATATGGTATTAGAATTCCTCATAACAATTTAGGATAGCTTAAGAAATACTTCTTTATCCAAACAGCTAAAGACATCTCATCATTTCTGGGGTTACTAAAATACTATATGTTGATATGTCCCCATAACTGCACAAAATAATCACCTTCTGCAGTGCATTATGGGTGTGCGGTTTGCTAAGGAATTTCCACTTTTGCAAAGCATGAATTTGCACTGTGGTCTGCAATTTTGGATGATTCAGTTATGACAACCAAAATATCAAATATAATTAACTAAATTAAATTATTTAAACAACAGATGTTAGTAACAGTTATCCTTTTCATAAAATGAGCTTTGTTGACATGATATGCCAACTGTAACTAAGTAGAATAACAGGACACTGCTAGAAAAATGTAATTTAATCATCTCTTGGACAAATATAGTACAATCCCTTCCTTACCAAGATTTCTAAATACTGAATATTTATCTTGATAGTATTACTAAAACAACAGAATCAATTCCGAGTAGGTATTAAAAGTTCAAATGTATTTAAAAAATTAGGAAATTCAAGAAGACTCATGTTTTGGCTTGAAAAATTAAAGCACAACCAGCCTTATTTTTCTCATTTACTGAGGGGAAGAAAAAGGGAGATCTGAGTAAGACCCAGAATCTGTTGACTATTTCTCAACCATTTTTGGTTGTCTCTAACTTAACCACTTTCCTTCCACTGGCTTTACAGATTTGGCGATGGTCCAGGGAGCTGTCTCTTAAATCTCTAAGCCTAGGAAACTGCTTCCTCTCTATTAAAGTCCAAACCTACAAATATAAGTAACTGAAGATGCTTTGGTTTTAAGGACAAACTCACTGTGGCCCTTTGGCTCTACTTGTGCCCCTTCCTGTCATCAAAACCTGAAAAATTTCTGTTATAACATATAAACACACACATATGTGTATGGTATGGAAAAGTAGAGGAGGGATTAAAGAAAATGTAAATAGGAAACCTTGAAGACTGACTCTGGCAAAGTTCCAGGGTTCCCCATTTCCTCAGGCTAATGATGGAAAGGAGACACCTATGGTGTCTTCTCATTTTACAGCCGTTCAGAAAACAAGGAGCTGGACTGACTCTGCATCCAAGGCAAACAATGTTCATTTCTGATTCTCAGAAGCTTTGCTAGAACAAAGTTCTTGCAAGAACATTGGTCTTGAGAATTACAAAGCCTTCTAAAAGAAACTAATATAATTTTTAAAAAGCCACCAAACCATGCATTAATGACTTGTTAGGGCTTTTAAATTGGAGTGGGGTGGGGAATACTATCAAAATAGTATATCTGAGAAGTCTGTCTTGTCTTTAAATTTTGATGATTATTCTCTCATCACACTCTTTCAGCCTCACAGCATGGCTGCTATCACAGCTGATGACTGCTGCCATTAGAAGTCTAGTCCCATTCCTTACCATCACGAGACTGAGACATTCATCTTTTGCATAGAACTCTTTGACTAGGCTAGATTTTTTTTCTCCATGCACTGCTAATAAGATAATAATTATGTTGTCATTGTTGTTCTTATCCTTACTGTTACTAACTTGTATTATACTAGAGTACCTTATGGCTTATAAAAGAGCTTTCTTCACAATAACTTTTTGGGGTAGGCTATGAAAATATTACCTTCATTTTACAGAAAAGGAAACTGTACAACACCCTTCAAGTTAAATATTATGCAAGCATTAGTTCTATAAATTCAGCAAATAAGCTGTTGGGTAATTAATTTTCCCTTCCTTCATATGATGTAGGTAATTTTTTCGCTAATTACTCTCTTTTCCCTCAAAAAACAATAATGCTTCTTATAAAAACAAATCCTCAGTTTTATTATTGAGACACCACTTTTCTTCCTGGTGCTCAAGAGAGTAGTAAAAGTTTACTCACTTTCAGCACATTCCTATATGACACATAAGTGATATTTTATACCATTTTTTATCTGGTGAGAAAACTGAACTTTGGGAAGGTTAATTGACTTTGCTCACGAGCTCTCAACAAATCAGTGACAGTGCTAAAATGGAGAGTATTATACTTCCTCTTCTGAAGAGTTTTTTCCTCTTGTTTTCTATAATGTTGAGAGAATGAAATGATCTAAGTTACTGTTTCAGTTAACTGAAGGCTAACTAACCATTTAGAAGCTTCAAAAGCTTCATGGTTATTTTGTGATTGTGACCATGGTATGCTATCAAAGCAGAACTTAGTAGACAATGGAAAACTTTTAAAAATGTATTACTTAAACTGTTTTAGTTTATATTTACTTCATTGAATCTTCTGGGCATTCTGTATTCTCCCACCTTTTTTTTTTTTTTGGTGAGGCAGTTGGGGTTAAGTGACTTGCCCAGTCACACAGCTAGTGAGTGTTATGAGTCTGAGGCTGGATTTGAACTCAGGTCCTCCTGACTTCAGGGCAAGTACTCTATCCACTGCGCCACCTAGCTGCCCCATTCCTTTACCTTATTGGGATATGACTACTGGGCTGATTCAAAGTGAGTTCAGTCCAAGCCCCTAAGGATCAGCACTTGACTTTAACTCCCTTCTACCCCCATGTTAGAAGGAACATTGCCCCAATACTGCCCTATCACTGGACCCTGAAAGGTAAGCTCCAAAAAACCAGCACCCATAGCAAGTAATCTCCGGCTCCTCTAATCCTCCTGATTCAGTTGGCTTTTGAAAGTCTCCTTCCCCTGCCACTTCCTTCCTCTCCCCTCTCCTAACCCCCCCCTCTTCCTTTTCTACTGTGCTGTCTAGAAACCCTGCTCATCATTAATTTCCCTTCATCCTCTATTTCTTCTTTTCTCTTCTTTTCTATCTTCTGTGTTCATGGAAACCTAGCTCTCTATTGAGGACATTGCAGCACTCAATACACTAGCTTGGTCCACTATTCATATATTCATATTCATAAATTCATATTATTTTATGTCAACTGGATCCTCATTGCTGAACTGCAAAGCATATTCTTCGTTGACTGCCTCTATCCTTAGTGGTTGTTCCAAACCTTCTCTTCTTTCCTCAAATCTCCAGTTCTTCCTCCATTTCCATTTCTTTCAGCAGATAGCCATGCCTCCTTGTTTACTGAGGAAACAGAAACCATGAGGTAATTTTTCTTCCTTCTTCATACTGCATTCAGTGTGTTGCAACATTTTAAATAGGATCTAGTCCAACTTATTCCTATTCAATTCTGAGCCCATCACAGTATCGATCTGTAATGGCCTTGGCCTGAAGGTTTGCCCAGCCACCTGCAAGTCATCATCTGGGCAATGTACATTTATTAAATGTTTCATTTAATATCAACATCGGGGAATAAAATGGAGATATGTTCATCAACCTCATGAAGTGTGTGTATATCTGTATCATATCTATATCTATATCATCTATATAGCTACAGATATATATCTCCCATGAAAAGTACAAAGAAAATAAACATCTCTATTAGTGAAAAGGGTTACATTTGTTCCCCTTTTGTGTAAACACTGTGATGCTTGCATTAAGCCTTGGAACCATACATTCTGCTTAATGAGATCTTTCTAACCATTTGGGCGTGAAAAAATGTAAATGAAGAATGGTTAATTTTATATTGAACATAATTTAGATGTTTCTGAATGTCTCAAGGTCGTTATAAAAATCCGTTACTTACCTATATAGGTCTCTATGCCTTCAGAGAAGATGAGAGTGCATGGAGCTACTTCCTCCTTCTATATTAAATACCATGGCATTACTGTATTCTCCTAAGGGAGGGATCCTTTTCCATCTCCCTGAGGGCCATCTATTTTCCCATCATTTCTTGCTGCTATCAGTCCTTTTTCTAGATCTAATCTCATCTTTTCTAATTGATGACTTGTAAAGTAGTCTCTGCTTCTGCTTTCTGCCATTTTCTTCCCTTGTGTGTGTGTGTTTTGGGGACTTTTACACAATTACACAGTGGAAAAAAGAGATTTCATCCATTTTGTCCCATGATAAAACATTAGCCTATAAAAGTTTTAAATGCCACAGAAGCATGGCATTTTCCAGTGATAAAAGATGGTCAAAAACATTAGGGAAAAAATTTATTTTTAATCTCCTAAGAAGCTATTACAAAAAACACAAAGTAAACAAAATGAAAAAAATATAAAAGAATAAAAGTATCCTTTTTAAAGTATCCTGCATTAAACCAATGGCACACCACCACAACTACAATAGCAACAGATGTTTAAGAATTGAAAACTTCTAGTTTTGATAGTTTTCTATGACTCCCTGTTTACATTCATTTTCTAATGTTCCTGCTTTAAACATTTTCCCCAAAAAATAAAATTTTAAAATGTAATAACTTCTTAAACATAAATAGAACCATGAAATAAAATTAAGACCACACAAGTTTCAATTATATCTAAATGAAGCAATTTAATATAACAATATTGGTCTTTCAAACAAACTGCTTATTTAAAATAGCTCCAGTTTTTAGTGTTAAAAATAAAATATTTTATCTTCTGCTTTAGAAAAACCAAGACACTGCTTGATTAGTAAAGCCAGTAATCTGCACTTGGGTGTGTTCCCTTAGAAAATGCAAATTCTAAAGAGGGAGAAAAATACTTACTGGAAAATAAAAACCTTTAGGCACAAGTTACAATGAAAGTAATTTTTTGGTAAAAGAAAATGTTTTTCTTCGCTAAAATGTAGCCACTTAAGTAAAAACAGGCAGTTAAAAATACAGAAACAGTAATAACTGAGTTATGAGAGGTGGGTAGTTTTGTTGGAAGTGGAATGTTTTAAAGGACAGAACATTTTACAAGAATTACCCCCCAAAAAAAGCAAGTAAATTATTACATGTGGGTCTACTCCTTTATGTATCTAGAAACTTCCATTATTCCTTAAGGCATTTGGCTGCAGGGGCTGGTAATGGAAAGGTCTCAAATATCTAAAAATTGTTTGGCCACAAAAAAAAATATTTTCTTAAGACTCAGAAGCAGCTGTTAATCACTGCATGCTTGAAGGTAACTCCTCAGTGAACTTCTTCCTGTTAAGAAAAAGAAAATAGTTTGGAAGATGCTCTAATTTTATAAAACATTCCATTCTCTCAAGTCAGAAAATGACAATATAAAAAGAAAATGCCCAAACTATGTTATAAAGATTATAAATTTCTATCAAAAAAGTACAATTACTACACAAAGTTAGTTGTGTGATTATTTTCTTGGTTCTTCTTAATTTAAGCAGCTTCCTTTCACAGGTACAGAACTTCCTGATGTAGGATAATAGGTTTAGAACCAAAATGGATCTTGGTGGTACAACCTCTCATTTTACAGATTGGGAAATGGAGGCCTACAGAGGTGAAGTAACTTGCCTAACAAGGTTTTAGAGGTAGAAGTGAACAGCAGCAGAACTGAGATTCAAACCTAGGTGTTCTAATTCAAATCCAGCACCCTTTCCATTATGCCCTACTGGACAGAGCTACTGAATATGCCAAGATTTGAACTTTTTAGCCTTTGAAGACCTTGATAACCAATGCAAATGCTCACGTTAGTGTTTATTTTTTTAAGAATAAAATATAATTAAAGCCATCAAATACTAAATTCTCTCATCTGTTGGAAAAAAAAGAAAAAGAAAAGAAAATGGAAACATGACATTCCTAAAAATTCTAATATATGTTTTCCATTTACCATGAAAAGAGTAGTATGGTTTTTAAATTAGCAATTAAAAACTAATCTACCCATATTCTCACTTCTCTTCCAAACAACTAAATCTGCTGTCCTTTTGAAGGCTAGATGTCTGAAATATCTTAAGAGGGATATCATATCTGTACAAAAAAACAAACTTATTCTGTCAAGGCTACAGATCAGGGGATCTTTAATTCACTACAGTTATAAATAGAGAACTTGGAGCATAAGCAATTACTAGCACTAATCAGCATATCACAATTACAAGGTGGTTGTAAAGGGAGAGAAGATAGGATTTATACCACAGAATTAATATTAATAAATTAAAATAAGAATAAGGAAAAAAACCCAGTGCTCAGAAACTTCCTTCTCTAACAAGTCTGAATCCTGAATCACGTTTATTTTATAGTTCACAAAGTAGTTTACAACAATTCAGTAAAGTAGGTAACAAAGGTATTATCATCTCCATGTTACAGATGAAGAAACTGATCTTCACTGAGATTACGGGATTCTTCACTCATGGACACACATTAGTACACAGTAGAACCGACAATGAAAATAGGTCTCCTGGATGCTCTTTCTAGTATACCAGTGATGTCAGACTCAAACAAAAACAGGGGCCATTGAACCATACATAAGGATCCTGCAGGCCATATAGTGACTTAGAAAATCGTGGGGGTGAGGGGTGGTGTTACATTATATGTATGCTGTGTAGTGTACATTATATATATTATATATACACATGTTAAATATATATATATATGTGTGTGTATGTGTGTGTGTGTGTGTTTATTATATATTGTTGTTGTTCAATTGTTTCAATCATGTCTGATTCTTCATGGCCCCATTTAGGGTTTTCTTGGCCAAGATACTAAAGTGGTTTGACATTTCCTTCTCCAGCTCATGAGGAAACTGAGTTAAATAAGGTTAAGTGACTTGCTGAAAGTCACACAGCTAATGTCTGAGGCCAGCTTTGAATTCAGGTCTCCCTGATTCTAGGGCCAGCACTTTGCCATCTAGCCACATTCTAATTCTATCTGTGTGACTTTGGGCAAGTCACTTCATGGACTCCCATTTCCTCATCTGTAAAGTGAAAGAATTGGACTGGATGGTCTCCAAGGTCCTTTTTCCAGTTCCAAATCTGTGATCTATAGATTTGGCTACTTTGACTTCATCAGCATCATCAGATTGACCCAATCAGCAAATGGGTACCAAAACTCAGGCAGAGATTATCATCAAACCTATGTGGAGGCCCCTGAAAATCTCAAGGGCATTCAGAGATGAAAAATGAGCCCCAGGAAAGCACCAGCCAGAGTTACCTGTCATCATAGTAAAACACAGGACCGGGGCTCTCGGAAGGGATTGCTCCCTGCTGGAACTCCTACTAGCAGAGCATCTTTGCAAGCATTCTGCATGCAATACTGCTGGAGTTCTGCAGCAGCCTGAGAGACCTGAATGGAGAAAGAAGATAAAAGTTATGTCTTTAAAGACAAGTCTCTCTTCCACCTTTCCCACACAGCAAAGCAAAGGACACACCTGGAGTTGTCTTCAAGAACCAACTTCTACTCCATTATAATAAGCATTCTGAACCTTGATTACTGTTATGTCAACATAACTAGTTTCCTTTATAATCCTATGTATTTTATTTTATGCAGTAAAAAACATTATCCTGAGAAGGCGTCCACAGGTATCACCAGACTGCCATGGGTACATGACACACAAAAAAGGTTAAGAACCTTTGCACTATAGGGATGGACCTACAGAAAGCCTTAGTAACCAAACTCCTGAAAGCAGGGAAGTGGCTGCGGCTGGAGGGGTGGAGGGGGAATGGAGAATGCTCTTCCAGGGAATTATTTGAGATTTTCTCAGTGAAGTGAATGATAACCATACCTTTGAACTATTCAATTCAGAGAAACAGCAATTGTTTGGGGAGTTTTGTCTCTATTTCACAACACAGGGGCAAACTAGTATCGGGGGACTGGTTTTCTAGCAAATATACAACTCTTAGCAGCCCTATATAATGTTCACCCACAGAAAGCAAATAAATTGTTTCAATGCACCGAAAATGGGGATGGATATTGATGGAGAGAGAAAGGAGGAGAACAGAGGAGAGAAGGGAAAGAGAGAGAAAGAAAAAGGAGTTTTTGTCTTTCATCCAGAGAAAGTACTTTATTCAGGATTTAAAATTCTGTACCTTGCAGATGAAGTACCCAATTATCCTATCTTGTAATAAAGGCAATCAATCTTCTGTGACAGTGTTCCATCTTAAAAAGGGGGGGGGGGATTTCTTTCATTTCTTCATGCCAAATAGTTGTGTACACTCTATATAGCTAGATAAGATGTTCTCTGCCTCATAGCAATTTGCTCACAGGTGAGTCTAGAACACGAGAGTTCACAATAATAAGAAATCACTTTGACATAGCATTTTATGCTTTAAAGAGGTTGCAAGTACAAGCCCAGCAACAATAAGGACTATATTAGAGAAACATTTGTCTGGTTAGTTTCCCCTGCCACAACCCTTACATCCCCCCTTCTCAGCAGAAAACCTTTGACTGAAAAAGACAGAAGCTGTTCATAAAGAACATCCCTCTCCTCCTCTACGCAAAACCTCTTGAGGGGCAGCTAGGTGGTGCAGTGGATAGAGCACTGGCCCTGGAGTCAGGAGGACCTGAGCTCAAATCCAACCTCAGACATATAATACTTATTAGCTGCGTGACCTTGGGCAAATCACTTAACCCCATTGCCTAGCCAAAAAACCAAAAAACAAACAAAAAAAACCTCTTGAAATCATGCCCCATTTTTTCCTCCTTTACTCCAGTTTCTGATGAATAGATGGCCTTTCTCCTGGCCAAGACTAACTTGAATTGCACCCTCAATGCCATCTTCTCCCCTCTCTTCCAGCAGACTGCCCCCATGACATCCCCTCATTCTCTCTCTAAACTTCAATCTCTTCCCATCCTGATGCCCACAGCTATGTCCATGTCTCCCCCAATCCTTTGAAAACCTTCTCTTTACCCAATCATTCCTTCAAGTTATTATTATATTCTCATTCTCTCATTCAGAATCAAATTTCCAGAAAAAAAGTGGTCTACATGTGGGCATTTCCTCCCTTTTAGTTCCTCAGATTAAGCAGCACGGTACAGCGGAAAGATTGCTGCATTTGAAGTCCTGGAGTTTCAGTTTCTTTCTTTGTAAAATGAAGGAATAGGACTAGATGACCTCTTAAGATTTCTTCAAACTTCAAAACTAGCATCCTATGATCACCCCTTTGCACTCTGGCTTCCTACCTCATCACTCAACTGAAACAGCTCTTGCCAAAATTACTAATAATCTCAATTGTCAAATTTACTCAGAATGTATTTGAATTTATCCACTTGAAATTCCTGCTGCATGTAATTTACATATGTATATTTACATATGTCATTTGCATATATTGTATCTTCCCCTTCTCACCCATCTACCTAACGATAATTCTTTGAGCATAGGTCACTCCTCTACTCAAAAAACCCCAGTGGCTCCCTCTTACTTCTAGAATCAAATGCCAGTTTCCCTACTTGAACTTTAAAACCCTACATAATAAAGTTCCAATCTACTTTTCCAGGCTTATTCTGCATTACTCCCCTTCCTATCTTCTTCAGTCCAGGCAGACAGGCCTTCTTGCCATTCCCCACAAACAATCTTCCATCTTCTGTATCAGCCCTCTTTCCCCTTGGAAATCACTCCCTCTCCATCTGTGCCACCCACTATCCCTAGTTACCTTCAAAGCTCTGTACAAGCACCACCTCCTACTGGAAACTTCCCTCAAGTCCCCCAGCTGCTACCACTGCCCCCCCCAAATTACCTAAAGTATATTTTGTATATATTTATTTATATGTATTTATGTTATACATGTTGTTCCTCCCTCCCCCCTGCCATAGAATATGCTCCTTAAGGGCAGAAATGAGTTTCTCTTTTTTTTTTTTTGTATTCCTAGCACCTGACAAGAGTACTTGGTACCCAGTAAGCACTTAATAAAATACATCTAATCATTCATTCAACAAAGGCAGCACAGTATATAGAAGACCAGGCACTGAACACAGTGGGAGAAGTTCTGGGTTTCAGTCCCCACCTGTCAATGGAGGTGGCACAGTGATATAGCACTGGGCCTAGAGTCAGGGGGACTTGAGTTCAAATTCAGTCTCAGATGCTTACTAGCTGTGTGACCCTGGGCAAGTCACTTAACTTTGCCTCAATTTCCTCATCTGTAAAACAAGCTGAAGAAGGAAATGACAAACCACTCCAGTATCTTTGTCAAGAAAACCCCAAATGGGGTCACAAGAAGTCAGACATGACTAAAAACAAAAAGACTGAACAACATCAACAAATAAGTTTCAGTTTCCTGGTCGAACTGAATATGACAGCGTATATGAAAGAAAAGTAAGAGCACTATATGGGGTTGTTAGCAGGCAAAACTTATTAAAAAGCTTTGTCCTAGACAATTAAGTAGCCTAATGCTGTGCAGCAAATACTGCAATTCCACTGTTCCTGTGTTCCTGTGTTCCCACAGCCTCATTGGCCTTGCCCTGACTTGTTAAACTACTCCCCAGTGTAAAACGCCAACCACTGTTCTTTCCACTGTTCTGATGGTGAATTCTGACTCGGGTTGGAAGTAGGCCATCCTTACTGACAAAAGATGGCATGCCCTTGGACAAGGCTGATATCCTGGTGGGATGAAATAAGCAGAGGGTCCTGAGGAAACAGGGTACTTCTAAGCAGCAATAAAATTCTAACTGAGTCTATGAAAGGACTGGCTGACTTAAAATGTTATTGCTAGGAGAGACCTTAGGGATCATCTCCTACAGGGGCTCACTCTGATTTTTTTGTGCCCCGGGAGTCTTTCACAATCTAGTGAATGCTATGAACCCCTTCTCAAAATAATGTTTAAAAAAGACATTAAAAATGCATGGGATTACAAAGGAAACCAATTATACTGAAACGGTTATCAATTTTTTTTTAAGTTCACAGATCGCAGGGTAAAGAACCCAGATTCTAGTGCAAACCCTTTATTCTGAAAATAATATAAATGATTAGGGCAGTGTTACATAGAGCATGATAATCACAAGAGCCAGCATCCATATGTTGTCCAGTTGTTTTTTGGTCATGTCCAATTCTTTATGACTCCATTTGGTGTTTTCTTGACAAAGATACTAGAGCAATTTGCCATTTCCTTCTCCAGTTTATTTTACAGATGAGGGAATTAAGGCAAACAGAGTTAAGTGAATTGCCCAGGGTCACACAGGTAGTAACTTTATGAACCTGATTTGAACACAGGAAGATTATCTTCCTGACTCTAGGTCCAGCACTTTATCTACTACACCACCTACCTGCCCTAGAGGTCTATATCCTATAGTTTTCCCTTAGCAATAAAGCCAATAGTCCATATTAATATATTAATTTACAAAGTGTATTCCTTATAACAAACCAGTAGGATATAAGGCAAGTAATATTCTCATTTTATAGGTGAGGAAACTGGGAAAGTGTAGCCAAGTGGACAGAATGAAATTATGAACTTAAAACTGGTTCCGATCAAATCTGCTCCAGCAGTGAATGAGTAAAAAGTTTTCATGCTGTGGAACAGGCTGATAATGTATTTTGCTTTGAGGCTTCTTCAGGGGAAACACGTTTAGAAGGTCACAGGTGCAGGAAAGATTTGACATCAAAAGTAGGCCAGAATAAATCATCAGCAAATGTCTCTAGGTACTTTTAGTGTGTTCAAACAGAAAGCTAGGACTACATGAAAAGTACAAAGTAAGTAATCCTTGAATAGCTTAGATTAGTCTATCTAAAAACCCAGGTGATTAATCCTGAGACAGAAAAACTATTAAGTGGCATGTACTTGGAGGAGAAATTAAGAAACCCATAGCTAAGCATTAGCAAGCCTGGCCCTTTTCACTCATCTCTTGGTACTGGAAGCAGCAAGCAGGGCCTGAAGTCAGGAATACCAGGGTTCAAATCCAGCCTCAGACACTTGCTAGCTGTGTGACCCTGGGCAAGTCACATGTAAAAAAAACCTGTTTGCCTCAGTTTCTCCATCTGTAAAATGGGAATAACATTAGCACCCACCTCCCAAGGTTGTTGTGAGGATCAAATGAGATAGTATTTAAAAATGCTTGGTCTGTTCCCTTCCCTTCCTATCCCCTATAGCTCTAAGTACCCACAACTGAACTGCCTGCCCACCATCCAGCAAAGCCCCACTGGACCTAGAGCCTCACCACTCACTTTTATTTTCCTATGATTGATTAGCTCTAAATACATAACATAGCCCTAGACACTTTGCAATCTTAGGTCAGATCTCAAATCTCGGCCAACCAAGGCCCTTTCCCACCCTTACCCCCAAAACAAAAGTTGATACTGTCCCTCCTGTTCCCCAACACAAAGGCTCAGCTGGGTTTGTTCTGTCCCTAAACATGCCCAGCCATCCCCCAGTATATCTGCAGCTCTGGACTGTAAACAGAAGCCAGCTTGTGAACCCACAATGAAGACATTTACCAGGGTCAGAAACCAGCCCTCCCCTCCTGCCCTTTCTCTCCTGTCTATTCTAAGATGGGCAGCCCTTCCTGGGAATTGGGCCACTTTTGTGCTGCTGCTGCTGCCGCCGCCGCCTAGACTGTCTGGGAGGGCTACAATCAAGCAAGGGGGAGGGGCTCTGGACAGAGGCTAGCTGTAGGAAGGAGGAGAAGGAAGTTAAAAAGGAGGAAGGGTGGGTGAGGGGTAAGGATAGACAGAAGGGTGGGGGTGGGGAGGAGAAAAGGGAAGGGGGAATGGAAAGGAGAAGAGTGGAGAGAAGAGGAAGGAGAAGGCCCAGCAATGCACACACAAGCGCGCGGGCGCGCAAGTCGCCTGAGTAGCCAAGGTGTCACTTCTATACTAGGGAATCCCTCTCTCCTTCCTCCCACAGTCACACAAAAGCAGGGTCACGCAGGGACACGGCTTCCTGGCTCCGGCTCCCACCATGGGACTCCACGGGGCTTTGTCTCAAGCGAGGACGGCAGGGATCCCCAAGTCAGACACCCAGCACCTCCCCGGCCAAGGCCGGAAGTGTGTCCCCAGCTAGCACAGTTTCTGGCACGGAGAGAGCACATGTGTATTGATTAACTTTGGGCAGCATCCTCCCCTTCACCCAGGGTTAAGCACCTTCTTAGCCTCTCTCCTTCGGCCCGCCGGGAGATCTGATTCAATTCAACTAGCACACACGTAGCCCATACTACTAGTAGTACCTAGCATTTGCAAAGCGTTTTGTGTTGCAAAGCGCTTTGCTTAATATTATCTCATTTGATAACATGTGCAAGGCACAAATGGAAACTGGCTGAGAGAGTTCGGATGACTCGCCCGCGGATCACACTAGTAAATATGTTATTAGACACATAAGGCACTGGGGATATACAGACTCAAGAAACACCCGAGTTTAAGCGAGAGAAGGCACCTCTCTATACCAGGATACTTAGCGGCCACACCCTTTCAGCTGAGAGGGGAAAAAAGAGGAAAAAAAGACGAAAAAGACCTGAGGCCTTTTCTCCGCTCTTCCCAGCTACAGACACCCTGCAAAACCCGCTCCCCTCAAAAAACTGCAAACCCTTCTTCCCTGCGGTCCTCCTTCATGCAAACAAGCACCTGGACAGCAGCCAGGCAGCCCAGCCGGGTCCCGACCTTTACCTTGATCCTCTCCACCCCCGCCTCCAATTTCAGCTGCTCCACCAGGCGCTGCATGGTGCTAAGGTTGGAGCTGGAAGACATGCTGTGGCGCGATCCTCCCGGGGCTGACTGTAAAATGGGCGGCTGCGCAGTCTTCCCGGAGGCTTCGAGCTGGGCAGGTTATCAGTCCCGCTGGGGGCTGCGAGCTAGGCGGGCGTTCTCTCCTCCCCGGGGGCAGCAAGGGGGCGGATACCCTTTTAAGAGCTTGAGGCGCGGCTCCTAGCGGTGAAGACTTGAAGATCCCCACCCTCACCAAGTCACCAGCACCCGTAAAAAAAGTGCTAGGGAGGCAGGAACTGAGCTCACAGTCAAGAGGAGGAGAGGGAAAGCGGGGGAGGGAGATGTTGCGATGTTCCCCGGGCCCTCTGAGCAAACACCCAAGAAAAGCTGGCCGAGAGCAGTTCTGCCTGTGCTTGTAACCCAGAGCCCCCTCTATAGGTCAAGTGCAGGAAAGGGCGCCAAGACCCTACAAGCTCACCCTTTGCATTTCCTTTCTTTCCAGATTGTGGACGCCTGGCAGGGGCTCTAGGTACTCAGAGTCTCCCAGAACTCAACACAACTGATTGAAACGGTCTCAAAAAGCCAGGTGGCCCATTCTATCAGTCCTTACTTGATACTCTAATAATGGTACGCTAACAGGTCTAGAACAACTAAAGGATGCAAATGTTTTTCCAGGGACCTCCTTGATAGGCAAATGACCCTATTACTCCAATGTTCCTTGAAGGCAGATTGGCTTAGTGGATAGACAAGTCTTTTTTTTTTTTTATAGACAAGTCTTGAAGACTTAAATTAAAATCTTGCCTAGGACACCAACTATGTGATGTGACACCGGACATGTCACTTAAGCTCTCCCAACCTCAATTTCCTTATCTGTAAAATGGGGTTAAGAATACCCATCTTCAAAAAATAAAAACCCATCTTCACAGGGTTGTTTTGAGAATGAAATGACATGCTATGTGTAAAGTACTTTGCAATTAAACTGCTATGAAAAGTAAGCTATTATGGTTTGAGGCAATGAAAAGTCTATTTTAAGTTCTGTGGCTGTTTTGTTTGACGTGTTCTTATTTGCTCTAGTTAATGGATAGGAACTAATCTTGCCTTCTAAAGCTCTTCATTTCTTCCGCCTGGGCCCCTTTAGGAGTTCCCTTTTAAGTCTTAATTATAATTTGAGAACTTGTTCCATAAAATAAAAGGATTGGACTAAATAAGCCTTGTTCTGGAGCCCTCAGTAGTCGGGAACTGGCTGCAAGAAGCTGGTGATAAGAATGATATAGGATTAAATACTGAGAAGGTGGTACAATACATAGTGGAAAATGCAGGATGTTACAAGATAAAGAATGGAGGTGAGCATAAAAGTTAAAATGAACAATTTTGATGACATAAAATTGAAAAACTGTTGCACATTCAAAATTAATAGCTAGAATTCAAACGCAAAGTTAAGTAGGGAGAAAAATCTTTGTAGCAAATTTCTTTGACAAAGATCTGAGGGAAGATTGGAGATTAAACCTATAATTTCATTGGGGCAGAGGGGGAATGTAGATAAGGAAATTCTCTATTCCAATGTAGGATGGAAAGAAAGAAGGAGGGACAGAGAGGTTTTAAAAGATTGTCAAATCATTATGAATAAACAATGCTTCACAGCATCTAGGAAAACTAATGGAAGTTTAGGATACATTCATAGAAACATAAAACATAGAAGGGGACAGATAATCCCATGGTACTCTGCTCAGGTTAATTACATCTAGAGTGTTGTTTTCTGCTCCAGATATGACATTTCAAGGACAAGCTGTAGAGCATCTAAGAGGAATGTGACCAAGATGGCATGAAAGGGGCCTCAAAACCAGGTCATACCCTAGAGAAGAGAAGGCTTGGGGCAAGGGGAGAGAGAAGAATAGAGGAAGAAGAGAAGGAGGAGACTTAAGTGTCTTCATGCAATTGAAGGTCTGGCATAGAAAAGGGGCACTAGACTTCTTCTACTTGACCTTGACCCTGGAAAGCAGAAAAAAGAACAATGGACAAAAAGCTTTAGACAAGCAAATTTGGGCTAGCTACAAGGAAAAAACTCCCTAAAGTAGAATTGGTTGCCAGTGAATGGGGAGTGTTCCTTACTAGATCTTCAAGAAAAAGTTGAGTGACTTAATTGGGGTGTTCTTGGGGGGATCTGGGGGTCAGGTATTGTTGGTCTCTGTGGCCCTTCCCAACTCTGAGACCCTACATTCTCTGTGAGAACAGTATATGATTCTGTGATTTGTTTAAAAAATTGATACCTTTTAGCTTGATAGAAAAAGTATATTAGTACATAATTAATATTCTGCTTGTCTAAGCAACTGAATGCCTATTCTTTATGCACTCAAGGCACCTGTACCCCACCACTGAATGTAGAAGATAGAAGCAATGCGGCAATAGCAGAAGTAATCGATTTTGAATCCAAAAATCTACGTTTGAATTCTGACGCTGCTGCTCATAGCTATGACACCTTGGGCAAGTTACTGAATCTCTCGGGGCCTGTTTCCTCACCTGTAAAATGAGAGCATTGGATGAGATAATTTTGTTTAGAGCCATTTTTTATAGGTATTTGGAGGGGTTTGGGGGAGAGCTCAAGCAAGTCACTGCTTTCACTCTGCCATCTTGGCTCTGCCTGGATGAGATAATTTTGAAGGGCCCTTTCAGTTCTAAATCCTATGATAATATGAAGAATTATAGTATTTATGTAGTGCTTTCAGGTTTGCAAGGCACTTTACAAATATTATGTCATCTTATCCATGTGAGTATCCTGGGAATTAGGTGCTATTATTATCCTCATTTTACAGTTGAGGAAACTTAGGCAGGCAGCAATTAAGTGACTTGCCCAGAATCACATACCTAGTTAAATGTTTGAGGCTGGATTTGAACTCAAGTCTTCCCAATTCCAGGCCCATTCCCGTAAGCAATGTGCAACTTAGCTGTCTCGATGCACCTGAGCCTACCAGACAGAAAGGAAGCAACTGTCTAGACTGCTCAAGCCCATAAATTCAAGAAGTACTTAACTTCCTCTTAGTTCAAGAAGTTCAATCAGACACGTTAATGCCAAGCCTTTCAGGATCTGGATAATTATGTCAGTTCTCCAATTCGATTTGCATGTAGGAGTAATAGCCACTATCTTCGGTCTTTCCTTTCTTTGAATTCCTAGAGCATTTCCTCTCTGCCACATTGCTCTCATTTTGGCCTGAATGTGGCCAAACATTCTTCCATCGGATGTTAGAGGCTCTTGCTTTAGAGGAGTACAAAACAGCATTCATTATATCACACACTAATATGACACAGGAATAAATTGCATGGCACAAAGAAAAAAGCAGTCACTAGAAGATAAAATTGGAAGATTTATTGCTGAATGGAATTCTCAGAGTTCATGTAGGCCAAACTCCTTCTTTCCTTCTTACTAATGAAAAAACTAAGATTCAGTCAGAGGTGTCCCCAGCTCACCCCAATGTCACACAGTTAAAAAAAAAGTAGCCAAGCCAATATTTGAACCCATGTCCTCTGATTTCAAATCCACTGCTCTTAATTGGGTGGCACAGAATTAGAGAACAGGTATAAGACAGTACATTAAGGTACTGATTAGAACAGGGATAAACAGGGAGGAGGAATAAGTATATTCATTCAGTCATACTTATTCAGTAAGACTACTATGTGCCTGTTCTAGGCCAAGTAGTGAACAGCATAAACAAATATACAGAAGTGAGAGTAAATGCAGGGGATGTATGTGTGTGTGTGTGTGTGTGTGTGTGCCTGTATGTGTTTGTGTGTTAGTGGGTTGAAGAAGGCAGTAAGGAGACTGTCCTGAACTGAATCTGAAAGTCCCTCTTGAAAAGTTGCATGGGTACACAGGGCCAGATTATGGAAAGGGCCTTGAGATATGGCAGAGGTAGTCAGGTGTGATGTAGCAGCCGGTAGTAAATACGATGAAAACAATGTTTTAGGGGGAAATGGGAAGAATTAGACAGTTCAGTGCCTACTATAGTCATCCAGGTATGAGGTAGTGAGGATGTGGACTGGGATGGTAACAGTGGGCATAGAAAAGGGCCAGATTCAAGAGACATTTCAAAGGAAAAATTGACTGGACTTGGGTCTGATTGAACCTAAGAAGCGAGGAACAGGAAGAAGTTGAACGCATAGTTGTACAACATTTGGGACCTGGCAACTAGGGAAATAGGAAGCCCTTAGTTGATGTGGAGGATCCAAAAGGGAATTCCTGTTATGTTCAGTCATTTCAGTCCTGTCTGACTCTTCATGACCCCATTTGGGGTTTTCTTGGCAAAGATACTTGAGTGGTTTGCCATTTCTTTCTCCAGGTCATTTGGCAGATGAGGAAACTGAGGCAAGCAGGATGAAATGACTTGCCCCAGGTCACACAGCTAGTATCTGAGGCCAGATTTGAATTTAGGAAGATGAGTCTTCCTGACTCCAGGCCCGGCACTGTTTCTACTGTACCACCTAGCTGCCCTATTATAGGGCCCATCGGACCATTATTGCCACATTTCATTTCATGACATCTGGTTTGAGGCTTCTTTGCCTTTTCTGATGATTCACCTAAGGCTATGCTTGATTCTTAGGATTTTAAAACTGCAAGTGTTATCCTTCCTCATTCTGGGGTGTGTAAGTGAATTGGTGTTGCTTGCTGGAAAATATATTTATGTATACACACATATATGCACAGCTGTATTAATGTTATAAGATTTTTTTCCTTTTGTTAAGATCTTTGTGTATTTGAAGTTTATTGTCCTTTGTAAAGTCAAGTGTCCAGGGTTGCTGAGAGCAGGAGGAGGAGGAGGAGGATCAATAGAATTAGAAAGAAGCCAGGTAGTAAAGCACCAAGAAAAGACTGGGTGCCAAGGTAATAGAGAGAGCAAAGTAGATCAGGCTTGAGAAGTTTGGTAGTGAAGGGAAATACAGACGGACCTCATGACTAGCAGGAGAAGCAATATCAAATGAAGACAGCTAGATGGCAAAAGCATAGACAGCTGGACTCAGAGCCAGAAAGACTTGAATTCAAATGCCACCTCACACGCTTATGGTACGTCCCTGAGCAAATCATATCTCTGCCTCAGTTTCCTCATCTGCAAAATGAAGATGACAGTAGCACCTATCTCCCAGGACTGTTGATGAAATGAGATAACACATGTGAAGTGCTATATAAACCCTAGTTATTATTATGTTTTGGTTGTTTAAGGTGAAGGAGACCTGAGAATGTTTGAGGGCACAAGGAAAGGAATGGGTTAGGAAGTAGAGATGATGGAAAACACTACCAAGAGAAGGGATAATTTGGCCTAGATGATGGTCACCTTCAACTCTACATATGAGATAAATGTAA